GAAAAAAATTGTAGCTAGTGATGGCTGAAAACAATGAAAAAAAAAATCACAAAATACTTTAAATGTCAAGGTGACTTGAATTTCAGAGTGTTCTGTCCTTTATTCATTTTTTGAAGTTTTTACAAAGTACCTTTTCCTCCAACCTGTTTTTATTACCAACTGCAATAAAATGAAGGCTATCAAAAGAACAGAAGTTTCCTTTTCATTTTAATTTCTTTTTTCTTTTGCCATTCCATTTCTTTTAAAATATTCTCCAACTTCTGAAATTCCAAAGTGATGGAAATACACAAAATGCTTTTGTTTTTTGATTTTCTTTTTTTTTTTTCTTTTTCCCTTCTTTGATAGCCTGTATTCATCCCAGTCCCAAGATATTTTATACCAATTCCAGACTAGCAAAGGAAAATAGGAGAGGAAAAATAAAATTAAAAGAAAAAAGGTTTTAGTCTTTTTCTTGTATTCAATTCATAAAAAGAAAGAGGGAAATACATGAAAACACCGAACTTTTGACATTTGATTTTTATTTTCAATACCAATAAAAACCTGGAGCGTTAAAAGCAAAACTAAATAAAACCCCTGCAAGCATTTGATGTGGTTCTTGAATTACAAAAAAAGCCACTTTTGGTCAGGGAAACAGAGCCAGGGGTAAACGTCTGACTGACTTACCTGCACAACGGTAAATCAGTTCTTCTGGAGAGTACATTTTCCCCATGAATAGGGGGTGGCAATCATATCTCCTCTCCTTGCTTCAAGCTTTCCATGCAAGGTATTAGTCTGATGCAAGGCTGTGCACCTGGCCTTGGTTGCTATGGCAACCCCTTGTGCACGGCAGTGACTGTAGGATCTGGGTCCAACCAGGCTTGTTCGTCCTTTTTGCATTTGGGCTGTCAGAGTGATCTTGTAACATGACATGTCTCATAAGATAAAGTTTTTTATTCCCAAAGAGCTAATAGACTTCTTCGCAGCTTTCAGGTTTTTTAAAAATAGTTTTCTGCTTGGTACCCAGTCCTTCTGCTGTGTGGTGTTTTGACTACCCATCATAGCTTGAATGATCTGATTGAGAAGAATCAAAGTTGGGTTTTTTTCCAAATACTACTCTTTATTTGCTGTCACTTTACATGCAGCCAGGGCTTTTCTTGGAAACTGGAAAAATTGTGTGTGAAGTCTCTTCAGCTTGGGAAAGGTATACTGCCAGGGTCAGCAGGCAGGGTCAGGATCAGGGAAGGGAGGACAGATACCAATGATACCCATTACCGCTTTTTCTGGACCTGCCAGCCCTGCTGGGTCATGTGCCAGCTTCCACTGGCTGAAGGGGTCAGGAAGGTGGGTGGGATGAGGCAGAAGCTTAATGTAAAAGCTGGCATAGACGAAGTTGATAAAAACCTCTGTTTTAGTAAGGTTTTAAAGTCATATCCTGTGGTATAGGTGTGCTTTAATCCAACAAGACCTTTACAAATGTTCTAAACTTTCAAGCCAAACCTCTTTCAGAGTGCTTTAACTACACCTAGAAGGTCCAGTTATGGTAACTTCATGTGTGCATGGGTTGCAGGGGAAATGCCAGCTGTTCTTCTGAGGCAGCTTTAGGGCTCTTCTGTGGCACTGTGGCAATGAGTGCAGAGGCTGAGGGTCTGCTTTGAGATCATGTCTCATTTTATATGAGGTTTGTATTAAACTTTGAACATGGGCTTGTCTAACTGATCCCACGGTCACCTCTTGGTTTCTTCTTGCGCACACAAGTCTGAATGGACTAGCTGGCGATCTTGATTTGAATTCTTGCCCATTACAGCAAGAGCTCAGACGTGATCCCTGATTACTCTGTATGACAGCCCATGTCATTTAAAATGAGCCTAGTCATCTAGCTACGTTGCATTTGCACAACCACAACGTTGACTTGATGGGTCTCTGGTACCACTCCTGGACCCACATGGAATGAACCTTTTTGACCTTCCTGGCACATAAGAGCCATTCAACGTCAGTCACAGCTTGCTAGAACAATGAATGCAAAAAATACAGAGCTGGCATTTTATTAACTTGAAGGATTATACTTTCAGCAACATTGCAGAAAGTAGTTTATCTAAGATGTATTATCTGTTACACACATATTTGAATTTCAATACTCATCAGTTTATAAGCAGAAACAACTCCAGAGAAAGAAGGGATGGCATTTATCACGTTATGCTGTTTACCACTGGAAAGAAAATAGAGGACCATTCCTATTCTGACTCACTTACACTCTCTTTGTCATACTACAGTCTCTTGATAGGTACCTCCACTCATTGCTTTTTTCAAGCTTTTGGCCACACATACAGCTAAAATTACTTAACACAAATGCAGAACTATTGAGGGTGTCAGTTAGTCTTTTGGGTACTTCAGGGACAAGTTCTATGTTTTTCTTGTCCTTCTTTGTCTTGCAGGTCTTACCAGACAGCAGACATTTTGAGCAGAAGCTCTCTTTTCCTGACTGCAGGTGCATCACCTAGCACGAGGTGGGTGAGGGGTTTTGGATATTAATCCCCACTGCAGCAGTTTCCTCTTGCAGGATACTGAGTATGCTCCATCCCCCCAGGTGATACTGAGAGCTCTGACCTGGGAACTGTCTCCCAGTCAACGTTTAGCACTGGTGCTCCTGATTCCTGCGGTGGATAGGCAGGCATGCGGGTACTCCTGTCCGCTTGTACTGCCCCAAAAGTCCCAACTTCAGGAGGAGGCTGTGTGTGGGTGGCTCCCTGCTCCTGCAGGCTGGTTCACAGCTCTCTGCAGGGGCTAAACCAGCACCAAGGCACCAGTGCAAGGGTTAGAGCCTGCGGCAACACAAAACCCTCCACATACAAAAGCTGCTTCACCCCTCCCTCTCTCCCTCCCTCCCTCTCAGTCCCACAGCCATATGAAAGAAAGAAAAAAAACCTCAAAGTGGTCCAAAGAGTCAGATTTAAGCAAAGGGGAAATTACTGTATTTGGGGAATATTTAGAAAGATAAGAGCCTCTAGGCTTCAATAACCATTGAAATTCTCTCCTCTGTATTCAGGGAAGGGATGGCAGTTATCCTGGCTGAAAGAAACAAGAGGTGCAGTAAAGTTCTCCTGTAGGCAGTTTGAGCCTTTCTAATATGTTTCAGAGACTGCAGAATAAGCTAAAAGTAAATAGTATTGTGAGTCAGTTCTTAATATCTCATTCAGCTTCATAAGCATGGGGGAAGGCAGAAAGGAAAAGAGGCAGGTTCACATGCTTTTTCACAAAGCTTGCAAACTAGCAATAAAGAACTGTCACTCCTCACAGTATTTTCTGATATGTTTCTGGTATGTTTCCTCACACTTCTCTGGTATGTTTCTTCTGCTCTGTGGAAACATTAAATCGGTGTAGTTTGCCTGTATGTACAGATGTGAGGCGAAATCCTTTCTGTGTGTCGTGTCCCGTCCCCGTCCCCG